TGATAGATATATAGATGATAGATAGTAGATGATGATAGATAAGTAGATAGATGATAGATAGATAGATAGATAGATAGATAGATAGATAGATAGAGAGATAGAGAGATAGATAGATATAACTGATACATAAACCTCATTATGTACAGTCGATGAAAACCATTTATCAGTGATTGTAAAAAGAACACTAATACAATCTTAAAATTCTAAATTTCATGTTCCCAGTCCCCATTGTGAAGCACAATACAAATCACCTATATAACTGAATGACTCTGCATCAGATTTTTTCAGTGGTGATTCACTTGCAGGTTAGACCAGCATGTATGTCCACATATTCGCAAGACACACTCAAGTTTTGTTCTCCATTAATGGAAAAAGTACTACAAGTTAAATACATGCATGGAGAGAGAGAGAGAGAGAGAGAGAGAGAGAGAGAGAGAGAGAGAGAGTTGGTTTTAATATCAACTCGCCACAAATTACAATCACCTTAGTAGGGAGCTTCTCCTGAAGAAATGTCCAGATTCTCTTGTCTGATGTACAAAGCCACACCTATTTGTAGCTGTACCTTCAGATAGCAGCCCAGTTTTTTTTTTTTTAATGTGACAGTAGGGCAGGTTTAAAAACCTTCATCTGCTTACTAGGCCAAGGTCACCAGATATGGTCATTAGGAATTAAATCAGGCCAGGTTGGAAGGATCATAGAATAACCGAGGATGGAACAATTTTATTGATAGCAATCAGCCTTTTTTTTTATTTATTTACAAGTCAGCCATTGCCCCCACCTCCTGGTCTCCCCTCTCACAGTTACTCATCCCATTCCTCTGACCCCCTGTCTCCAAGAGGGTGTTCCCCATTGCCAGGCCTCCCGTCTCCCTGGGGCCTTAAGACTCAAGACTCCCTGGGGCCTCAAGAGGATTAGGCACAACTTTTCCCACTGAGACTAGACCAGGCAGTCCTCTGCTATATATGTGGGGGCAGGGAGAGGGGGCTTGGACAAGCTCATGAACATTGCCTGGTTGGTGACTTAGTCTGTGGGAGCTTCCAGGAGTCCCAGGTTAGTTGAGACTGCTGATCATCCTATGGGGTTGCTGGTCGTCCTATGGGATTGCCCTCCTCTTCTGTTTCTTCCATCTTTTCCCCAATTCGACCAGAGGGGTTCCCTACTTCAGTCCAATGGTTAGGTGTAAGTATCTGTCTGTCTCAGTCAGCTGTTGGTTGGGTCTCTCCAAAGACAGCCATGCTAGGCTCCTGTCTGTAAGCGCACCATAGCATCAGTAATAGTGTCACACCAAAGTATCTCCCCAAGAAGTGGATCACCAGTTGGGTTGGTCACTGGACTTTTCCCTCAGACTCTTCTCCATTTTTATCCTTGCAGTTCTTTTAGACAGGAACACTTTTGGGTCAGAAATTTTGACTGTGGGTTGGTAACACCATCCCTTCACTTGATGCCCTGTCTTTCTACTGGAGGTGGACTCTATGAAAATATTCGAACATTCAAATGGAAGCCTTCTTATGAAAGGATATGAGAAGACAAAATAAAAAAGGAAGAGGAAAGTAGAAGAAAAAGTTAAGGGTATTTATCAAAGGTCTTTGAGTAGTCTACTATAATCAGCAGAAAACAATCACAATGTTTCCTTGACTCCTTCTTTATGTTCCAAACATAGATCACACCATACCCAAGCAAATACCATACCATATGTATTTGTAAGACTCTGATGTACACTCAAAAATTCTAACCTCCTTCCATAGCTGGAAAAGTTCAAAAGGGAAAGAGATAGTATGTGCAAGGTGCACACATGAGGGGAAATGATCCAGTTAAATATTCATGTATAAACGCTCTGTGAAAAGTAGCAAAAAAAAAAAAAAAACCTCTTCCTATCATAAACAGTTCTATTCAAAGATAGAGACAGAGTCTGGAGAGAATACTCAGCTTTTAAAGGCATGTACTACCTTTCAGAAGACCCAAGATTAGTTCAAATCATCTAAGTCAGATGGTTCAAAACAACCTATAGCTACATCTTCAGCATATCCAATGCTCTCCCCAAGTTTGCAGAGAGACCTGCACTTAAATATGCAAAGACATATATATACAAATATAGTCTTAAAATAAAAATAAATATTTTTAAAGGAGAGAGGTGCTTAAAGTAAACATCCATCTTCCTTAAGTCTAAGAGTTTCCTTCATGTAGGTATTATTCCTTAGGAATTGAATTTTATTATATTTTGAAACGTGTGTATGTGTGCATGCAAGTGCAAGTGCATGCTTTCATAAGATAATGTTTGTTCTTAGTAAATATAAGACAAAATAGCATATATGTGAGTATAAATAAGCATACACAAAGAAATACTTTTCTTAGAAATTGGTTAACAATAAACTTCTGTGCTTAGTTAAGGCTGTTCAAAGTTCAAGTGTTTAAGAATTTGCCTATAATCCATTAGCTTGCTGAACACTCTCATCATTGCCATTTTCATTTCTTGATTCCTCAATGTATAGATCACTGGGTTCAGAAAGGGGGTGATGATTGCATCAAATATGGCCAGAAACTTATCCATGTGTGTATAAGATGATGGCCATGTGTAGAAAAACATCACAGGACCAAAGAATAAGACCACCACAGTAACATGAGCTGAAAGTGTAGACAGAGCCTTGGAGGAACCACTTGAAGAATGTTTCTGAACAGTAAAAATGATGGCAATATAGGAAATGATCAGTATGAAGAAAGAGCCCACAGACATGAATCCACTATTGATTGAGACCAGTAATTCCAGTTTGTATGTATCTGTGCAAGCAAGTTTGATGAACCGGGGAAAGTCACAGTAGAAGCTGTCCAACACATTTGGTCCACAAAATGGTAAGTTTACTACAAAAGCCAGTTGAATCAGAGAATGCATAAGGCCAACCACCCAGGCAACCACTGAGAACAAGATGCACATCCTTGGGCTCATAATGGTCAGGTAATGGAGAGGCTTACATATGGCCATATATCTGTCAAAGGCCATGGCTATGAGCAGCACCATCTCCACACCACCAATGACATGGATGAAGAATATTTGAGTAACACAACCTCTAAAAGAGATGACTTTATGCTTTCTGAACAGGTCACAAATCATCTTGGGAGAAGTAACAGAAGAAATACCCAAGTCAATAAAAGAGAGGTTAGCCAACAAAAAGTACATAGGAGAGTGTAAGTGAGAGTCTGAAACCACAGCGAACACAATTAATGAGTTTCCCATCATGCTTGCTACATAAAATATGGAGGAGAAAACAAAAAGGAATAGTTGGATATCCCAAGAGTTGGTGAGTCCCAGGAACACAAACTCTGACACCACAGACTGATTCACACCTTCCATTGGCTTTGTGGGCCTAAAGGAGGAATTAAGAGAAACTGTAAATTTCAGTTGTGTTAGTAGAATAGGAAAATCTCCAAGTTATGAAAACCTATTTTTACTTCAACATTACAACTAGCATTGAGTCAAACAGAGATATGAACAAATGCTGAACATAAGCAATCATAAGATGGTTACAGACAAACTCCATGCTGAACTAGGACTTCACACATGTGAAAAGGTATTTGTAAGCATAAAAAGATGACAAGGTTGAGTGTTTCTAAAGAGATGATATCAGGGGCTAGAAAGATGGTTCCACTGTTAAGAGCACTTATTGTCTTCCACTGGACCCAGGTTGGGTTGCCAGCATGCATGTTGAGAAGCTTACAGCTACCTGTAATTCCAGGTTCAGAGGATCTAATACTTTTGTCTGGCCTCCACAGACACCTGTCCACACATGACATATACATACAAATACACAAAAAAGTTAGAAATAAATCTTTTAAAATAGGGTATTATTATAAACTGTTAGTGAGAATATCAATTAATACATCCATTATAAATAATGGAGTGTTTTCAAATGTTTAAGTACAGACTGGATTTATAGCACAATGAATCTCCATTTGTCTACCATATATAAAACCATGCTCTTAATCCTCAATAGTACAAAACAAAAAATAAAAGTACACAGATTGCAAGGGGAAGAGAACATAGAAGAGGACAAGAGAGGAGACAAAAGGAGAGAAGAGAGAGGGGGGAGGGGAGAAGGACAAGGGTAGAAGAAAGGGGTGAGAGGGGGAAATAAAAGGATGAAGGGATAGGAGGGGAGAGGAGGGGAAAGAATGGAAGAGGAGAAGAAAAGGGGAGAGAAGAGAGGAGAAGAGAGGAGAGGAAAGGAGAGGAGAGGAGAGGAGAGGAGAGGAGAGGAGAGGAGAGGAGAGGAGAGGACAAAAGAGGACAGGAGAGGACAGGACAGGAGAGGACAGGAGGGGACAGGAGAGGACAGGAGGGGACAGGAGAGGACAGGAGAAAAAAGGAGAGGGAGAGGGAAGGGATATTGGCAAGGGGAGTAGAGGGAGAATGAGAGGAATAAGAGCGAATGGAAGTGGAAAGGAAGGGAAAGAAGGGGAAAGGAGATGAGACAAGGAGAGAGAAGAGATATGGAAGATTAAAGAACTATCACATGATAGAGAAATTCTCACCTATAGGGTATATATTGAGAAGAAATGACATTATCAAGTAAAAATTATCTTTTTATATTATTATTATAGCATTATCCATAAAAATTACTTGTGAATAATCTGACTTCTTTGATAGATGCATGTAGAACAGTCACGCACCATCGTCCCTGACTATTTTTCACCCTTAAAAGAAAAATATCTATATTTTGTAATTACATAAACAAACCTGGAGGTCACCATGATAAGTGGAAATCAAGTCATGGAAATTGTTATGGGAAGATCTCAAAGTAAATGGAACCTAAAGAAGCCAGGAAGAGATGGTAGAAACATGGTTAGATCCAGAAGTGGTGGATGCCCCAGGACCAGACACAACAGAGAGTTTATATGATGCACATATGAACTCACATAGACTATCATAGCATGCATAAGTTCATGCCAGACAAATTCCCAGCACTGAGAAGAAGTAGGCACAATATACTGCACCTAATCAGGAAGCTGTTTTAAATTCATACTTGCTGGGATAGGCTTAGTTTTGTCCAGTGAAGTGACACTGGTGAGATCAGCCACACTCCAAGGTAAGCCCCATGCTCAGAAGTCAGTTAACACAGAATGCACTCATATTTTTGTGTCCTTTGATTGGTTGATTGGTTGGTTGGTTGGTTGGTTGGTTGGTTGGTTGGTTGGTTGGTTGGTTGATTTGGTTTTCTTTGTTTTGTTCTGGTATTTTTGTCTTTTAGATTTGTTTGATTTGATTTTCAGTGGTTTTTTTTTTTTTTTTTTAGAGAAAGAGAAAGAACACTAAGTTGGGTAAGTAGTCTATTGAGGAGAGTCTGGGAATAGTTGTTGGGGTTAAGGAGTATGATCAAAATATAGTTTATAAAAAATATTAAGTAGATAAGCACAAAAAAGCTATACTCAAAGAAGAAGAAAATATGACAATGCCTCATAAGCACACTATGTGAGGAAAGGGAATGTATTTGTCAAAGGAGAAAAATAGTGAGTTAACCAACATGAGGAGTTCTTGGAGATTTAGTACAGCGTGGTGACAGTGGTTAAATTGGCACTATGTCATATATGTGAATATTGCCAAGTAGATTTTCAATGTTCTTATCATGGATATATATGTCAGGTGAATGTTATTTAGTTTCCTTTAGTCAAAAAATAATGTTCACATGTATTTAAACATCAAATTGACACCATAAATATGTCTATAAGTTTGATAATTAAACTTCTATAAAAGACAAAAGTGCTTTTATACTCATACTTTCAGATTGTGATCATACACAGAAGTATAGATAGTAGCAGTCATAGTGTAATGTTATGTTCCATAGATATTTCTAAATTTAATAGTCTTCCCAGTTCCCAGTTTAATAAAAAGGTATTTTTATGTGATAGATCAGCCAACATGAAAAATATCATGAACCTAAGTTCTTTCAGTTTTCTTTAAAGACTAATACATAATCTGCTCTATTAAAAACAAAAAAGTTTATGTTTTTCAATATTGTATTCATGCTGAAATTACAGAGCTTATTCTAACATATAAGCCCTTAGCTCTTATCTCAAAAAAAAGTTTAATTTCAAGGTTTATCAAATGTTAACAATAGTCATAACATCTTCTTTTTATATCATCTATATCATCATCATGTTTTATTAATGTTTTAGTTGAGTTAACTAGATTCAAAATTTATGCTCCAAATATAGGTATATTCATATATATATATATTTCCTTTCTCTGAATCAATGAATAAAAAGGTCCACAGAGAAGGATAAGTCTATGAAATGGCAGATACTGGTGTGCATCGTGTTAGGTTCACAAATTTTAAGTATTGAGAAATGTCTCTAGCAATGTGACATTACAATAAAACTCAAATGTCAAAATTGACATTTTTCTAGGCTATCAGTACATCAAGCCTGGGGATAAATATAATTACTATCATAGAATACATTCCACATGATCTAGATGCTTAAACCATTCAAAGACAGAATCACATGTCAGCATTTTGTCCATAATTCTATGAAAATATTTGTCATATTATATTGTAGTTTTAGTTTTATTTAGAGAAGAAACAGCATAGAAGACAACATTTAGGCTTTGGATTCAAGACTCACAATTAAGTTCATGGTTCATCCAGGGACTGTCTCCTATTGGAAAGGATACTGAAAGCCTTGACCTTATGTTTTAATTCTCTATTAAACAAATTAAAATGTTTGTTTTAATTAACTTATAGAAATGAATCAAATATCACAATCATGTGTTCAGCAAAAATTGGTCAGCATAAGCGTAGGATGGCCATAGACACAATTATGTCCTCAATAGATAGGTGCTCCATTTGTGGCTGCTAAACAAATGCTAATAACATTAATGCTTTTCTTCCTTTCTCTTGCTCATAATAGTGACAAGCTCATAAGATAAATTACTCAAAAGCATTAATAAATATGAATAGACAGTAGACATCTACTGTCATGTCTAAAATATGCTTCAAACTGTACTTACTATCTGCCATTCAGTAACACATTAATGTGTTAATTACATTAGTCATATCATTTTAGTGACCAAATAATGAAATTTCAAATATAAACAGCACAGCTGCTCTCATAGAACCCTGTATCTATGTTTAGTTCTCAATACAAATTTAATTCATTGATTATTCAAGAAGACAATAACACCTATAGTGTTCAACATTCTTAGCCATCAGGAAAATCAGAACTAACACTACTATGAAATTCAACCTTAAACTTGTCAGAATGGCTAAGATCAAAAATACAAGTGACATCTCATGCTGGTGAAGATGTGGAGCAAGGGTAACATGCCTCCATTGCTGGTGGGAATGTAAACTGGTAAAACTACAATGGAGATCAATATAGTGGTTCCTCAGAAGGTTGGGAATCAGTCTACTCCAAGACCCTGCTATACCACTTGTGGACATATATCCAAAAAAATCCTCCATCTACTAGAAGGACACTTGCCCATCCATGTTCATTGTGGCTTTATTCATAATAGCCAAAACTGGAAACAACCTAGATGTCTCTCAACCAAAGAATAGATGAAAAATTGTATTACGTTTATACAATGGAGCATTACTAGCTGTTAAAAACAATGACATCATGTAATTTGCAGGCAAATTAATGGAACTAGAAAAGATCATTCTGAGTGAGGTAACCCAGACCCAGAAAGACAAATATGGTATGTACTCACTTATAAGTGGATTTTAGTTGTTAAGTAAAAGCTAAACATGATACAGTCCACAGACATAGAGAGACTAAATAACAAAGAGAGCTCAAGGAGGGATACTTAGATCTCCCTGAGAAGGGGAAATAGATTTTTGAAAAAATAGATTTTGCAAGTGAACTAGGTTCAGATGGGGATGGGAACAGGGAACAGGAAAGATCAGGCAAGTGTAGGGTGTGAGAGAGACTAGAAGGAAAGACTGGAAGAGAGGACTGGAATTAGGGTGGAAGCACTTGGGGGTGATGTAGAAACCTAGTGCAGTGGAAACTTCTGGAATCTACAAGCATAATCCTAGTGAAGTCTCCTAGTAATAGAGGATATGGAGCTCAAACTGTCCATCTACTATAACCTGGCAAGACTTCTAGCAGTTCAACTGGGACATCAACCCAACCACAAAACCTGCGATCTAGTTTGTCCTACCTGCAAGACATCTGTAAAATGGTGGCATAGAACTTTCAAGAGTGAATAATCCATGACTAGTCCAACTTGAGAGAGGAGAGAAGGGAGAAAGGAGAGGGGAGAGGGGAGGAGAGGGGAGAGGGGAGGAGAGGGGAAAGGGGAGAGGAGTGAGGAGGAGAAAGAGAAGAGGGGAGAGGAGGGGAGAGGAG